AGGAAGGAGAGCTCCACAACGCAAATCACATTGCTAACGATGCATCGCGCTTCACTAGCAATGAGTAGCACGTTCGCAACCACCCACGAGGCTGTTTGCTTTGTTATTTACTGGGGAACACCCTCTGCGCATGATAAACCTCCCCCAAGGGGTATCTTCTCATTTCCTTGCTCTTTGGCAGTTGGATATAGTCTTTTTCAGTTTGAAACTCTTTCACCGTATCTTCTCATTTCCTTGTTCTTTGGCAGTTGGATATAGTCTTTTTCAGTTTGAAACTCTTTCACCGCCAGATGATAGAGACGGGGGTTCTTTTTTTTTTTTTTTAGGAATTGTTAACAAGATTTATTGAGTAAATGAAAATAGTACATGCACTTAGCCTCAAAAGCCAAGGAACAAAAAGAGGAAAAGACAACAAAAACGAAGAAGAAGAAAAGATAAAAGAAAAGGGAAAACAAGATCTAAAGGATTTATGAACATGCGGCGGCTTTAGCAAGAGAATCCACAAGAGAATTCCTTTCTCTATTCACCAATGAGAAAAGAACTTCCTGAAAGAATCTCAGCCATCACACCTACCAATCTCCAAGGGGAAGAATTGGGTACATCCACCGTTTGATAACATTGGAAGAATCTCCTTCACTAATTAAATGAAGGACCCAGCAATCAACATTCAAAACACAACATTAAATAAAATAGCTGGCATGGGGAAAAGTCTCTAAGTACTGCAAATAATGTTCCCCTATCACGTCTTAAGACTCTTCTATAGCCTGCTATCAACCTATTATTCCTAGTAATCCCATCTTAATTAAGGTTGACCCACATGGAGGATTCCGTACTGCTAATTTTGTAATTTTAAATATTTTCACAATCAAGAGATGGTCACAAGGAACATCTCTAAAACTCTCATAGGCTTTTGCCCACTGAATAATAGTTCTCAAAATGTCGTAAAACCTCATTTATTCTAAGAAAAACCCTGAAATTTTACTTCCAGATCTACAACAAGATTGCTCCACTATAATCTTCCACAAAACTAATCCTTTCTTCGTAATAGGCAGGGAGTTCAACTGCACCAACATTTATTAAACTGTTTCAGGCCTTTTTATTTTTTTTATTTTTTTATTTTTGGGTTTAGTGGAGAAGTTAGGCCTCTATCCGTTTTTTATATAGATTAAGGAGTTAGCTTTTTAAAAGGTATCAGTGGATGGTGTCAACAGGATTGGAAACTACAATGTGGTAATTAGGTATGGGGGTGCTACCACCACGACCGAGCCCATTTTCCAATTGTTTCAGGCTTAGTCCAAGCACGTTGTACTTTAGAAAGACGTTGATGAGAGGCCCTTTTTTTATTTTCCTACAACATTATTGTAGAAACTGAAATGTCATAACCATTGGGATGATTTTTTTTTGACAATATTCCAAAATTTTATTAATCAAAGGGAATTGCAAATGCAATCAAACAAAAATAACATCCGATATGATCAAATCCTACAACAAAACCTCCACTCTTAGCCAAAGAATCTCCTACATCATTCCCTTCTCTGTAGACATGTTGGAAAGTAACATTCATGTTTTGAATCATGTCCATGATCTCTATCCATTTAGATCTCAAGTTCCACAGTGGTTGAGATAAGTAGTAATTAAGTTCAACGAATCACATTATATCGTGTAGTAATCTTGGATACCTTGATCTTTGATAATTTTCAACCCTTGTAGCACAAGTAGCAACTCCACTTCATTTGTTGTTTAAATACCACAAGGACCCGCAAAGCAAAACATACATTCGCCCAAATGATTCCTCATGACACCCCCAACACTTGCTAGCCCTAGGTTACCAATTGAACTTCCACCACAATTCATCTTAATACTACCCATCACAGGAGCTACCCACTACCTTTTGTGTCTCACCTTCACCACCGTTTGCGACATTAGATTCCTAACATTAACATCCATGTCAACCTTAGACACACCAAAGTCTTCTTTCATAATCGAGAACTAACTCCATAAAATATGTTGTATTATCTTCTTAACCAAATCCCCCTTTATAAACAACCTCTCAAACACCCGCCTATTTCTTTCTAACAAAACCTCCCAAATTGCAATTGCCCTTCCTATTTGAAAAATCAAACTGCTCACCTTTGGCAGCCCATCGAAGGACATATGCTTAATTATGTGATTATGACTTTGGGGCAACGTTCCAACAATACCCTTGTTAAGGACCCAATTCCAAATATCATAAGTGAAGGGCCAATGCAAAAGTGAAGAGTCCCCCCTTTCATCACTCTCCTTAGAAAGCATACCAATGTTTGTAATAATCCTACCCCTCTTGATAAACTTGTCTACTGTCAATGTCTTCCCTTGAAACAACACCCAAAGAAATACTTTTAACTTTTTGTGGGATCCTCCAAGATTATATCTTGCGCAATGAGCATTTATTCCACTTAATTATGTCATGGAACAAAAGATTGTACGCAAATTTCACCAAAAAAACCCCATCACTTTCAACCTCTCACACCAATTCATCCTTGAAACCTTGGAAGAATTTCACATTTTCCAGCAATCTTAACGGACTAGTCATTTGCAATAAGAACTCATCACCAACCTTGTTATATAAACAATTAATATCTCAAAACCCTCTCTCCATACAAAATGTCTTACTCATTTTAGCCATAGGGTTAGCTAATGCATTAAAAATCAAAGGAAAAGAATGCCTCCACGGTGTTTTCCCAATCCACTTCCTATGCCAAAAACAGAACCTTTGATCCATTCCCCGTCTCGCATCTAAAGCAGCTAATCATGAATGTTCTATTTTGCATGAGTCCTTTCCACACCATAGACTGCATCCTAGAGTTCCTGTTATTTCCCAACCACAAATTATTCATATCCTCATCATATTTATCCTTTATGATATCTTTCCATAAAGCATGCTCACCATCCATCGACCTCCACCACCGTTTAGCCAATAAAAGCATGATTCACATGTTTTAGCTTTCGAACACCTAAACTCCCTTCAAAGATGGATGTACAAACTCTCTCCCAACTTATCAAATGACATTTTTTTTCAACCTCTCAAGAACCCATGGAAAGCTTCTCATCAATTTCTCAATAATTTTTGAAATCAAAACCAACGCTGGCATCACTAACAATGACTTTTGAAACACCAACAAATTGAATAGAGTTGATTTAATAAGAATCGATCTTCCACCAAGTGGAAGGTTTTCTTATTTCCACAAATCCAATTTTGAATGCATCATTTGAAACACGGGTCCCACACTGACTTTGGCAACCTTCGATCTGAAATAGATAAGCCCAAATACTTTATCGAAAAAGCATCCACTTTACACCCAAAAAGATTTGCTAAAGGAACCACAGTCTCATCTCCACAAGCCACACCAATCATCGATGTTTTCACAAAGTTCACCTTAAGACCAAGGCCCACTTCGTAACACAACATCCTTTGAACATTCTCTCTACCAATAACTTCACAATTATCTTATACATACTAGTTAGCAAACTAATCGGACAAATATCCGATATACCAGAGATAAAACCACTTTTCGAAATTAGTGCTACATAAGTTGAGTTTATTGCATTGCTCAGGGCACCTCTCTCCCAAGAATTCATTAATCATCAACAAGTCCATCTTCACTTCATCCAAAAAACGTTTGAAAGAATCTAAAGGAGAAACCATCAAGTCCTAGAGCCATATCCCCAGGCAAAGAAAGAAAATACAAAGAAAATACAGCATGTTTAACCTCTTCTTCAGACGCGCACCCGTCCACTCAGTCCATGCAACGTAGGATTGAAAGCCAGATTCCATTTAGGATTGATATAATGTCCCTTCTAATGGTGGTGTTTCACCTTAGTTTTTGCCATGTTGCTATTCATCTGGAAATGTGCATTCAATTCTAGGAATCTTATTATATAAAACCATTTACTTATCACAATCAAATTCAGGTTGAGCTACAAAATGAAATTTATTTTTCAATTATTAAATACTTTGAGCACAATTAATGTGGCACTCACCCACAAAAAAAAAAAAAAAAAAAAACGAAAGAAACGGAAACTCCAACAGCCCAATTTAGCAACGGCAAGGTTAATTGTAACATCCTCGCACACTAGATAAATGATATTACCACATACTTCTCTTGAATCGCATGCTAGTACCACTAAGCCAAAAGGAACACAACCCCGCATGAGCCTACTTTCTATTCCCTCATTTGAAGTAAAAGTGCTGGAAAGATTACAATACTTGAATTCCACAGCACACAGCTGCCCTAGATGAAGGCCATGGCCAAAAGCAAAGGTTAGCAAGTGAGATATCACGATAATGATCATCACCAAAAGAATATTCAATTTTCACATCTAATACCTAAAAAACACATTTTTAAACCTGCAGATTTAAAGACACTAGCAAAGCACCTTATTCAATTTTATAGAGCAGGAGAATAACAATTCAAGAAGCTTGGAACAATATCTATTAAATTTAAAAGACATTGTGACATATGTAACCGAATGTGCCCAGATCAGCATTTCGACTAGAAGAAAATAAAAAATATGACCATGCATCACTCTCTACTTTTTACCACTGACTCACAAACCCACTCCCACCCTTACTCTGTAGCCGAGCACAATCAGAACCAAGGACCATTAGAAGGCTTCTACAACTCTTCAAGCAATGAAAACACCTACCTGCGAACTCATCCACAGAAGAAACTCCCATGGAATTTAAACACAAAAAAACCCATTCATACCACCAAGATTCTTGACACGGGCGATTGCCTTCAAAAGCTCAAGTGAATATCGGTGATCCAGTCACTCAGCGAGGGAGCCTTACAATTACAGAATCAATTAAGAGTGATGCACGTCAAACCAATTTGGAGAAAATGATAAAACTTGAGAATTTCAACCGCACTTCGTCATGTAACCATTCACCACATTCAGTTTAACAAATTTCATGCAAGTCATTCTCACTCCAAAACCCAGGAGCTGTGTGTAAGATTAAATTGGAAGACAATTGAAGGGCTTCTCTAGCGAAATTATTAGCACTGAAAAGTAGCTGCAGTATCCCGTCTTTGAAATCACTTCTTATTTCTAAAATAACTTCTATGCATTTACCATTACATTAACAGCAGGAACAAATTGATGATGGACAGATTCAAAACCAAGTTAAATAAATGGGATGAGAAAAACAATAGGGTATCATACGTAAGGAGCTTGGCTGCTGCTAACTCTATTCAGCACCAAAAGGCAATTCTAAACCTAATAAATTCTAAGACTACTTGATGGAAGACTATATTTTTTACAACTATGTATAAATGAATGGGCCAAGTGATAGCACTTGCGGGAACTCATCAGCAGTCACTTGCGACGAGCATGTTGGTGGGCTTGACTCTCCCGGGAAATTCTCTCAGCATACATTGGAAGACGTATAATCTCAGTAATCTCATCAAGTACTTCCTCCTCTGTAATGTTGTCCTGAATACTTTGCATAACCTACATTTCCAGGAGTGAAATTGCTTAGAAAGTTAACACTATCATTCCAAGGCATTTGACTTTTCTGAACCTTTTAGGATGCCAGAAAGTGGAGAGGAGAGACACCTTTGTGTAAGTATTCCATGCATTTGGAGTTTCCTTGTCTGTTCGGATGCGCATGTATTCCCAGTGTTCTTCTTGGGCATTCCAAGAACACTCCATAATTTTCCCGTTAAATTCAGAAGGGTCCTCACCACCTGCATGTGAGCACAAGTACAATCAGGGTTAAATAGCTATGTTGTTTCTGAATGGAAGTGGGGTATCAGCGTCCCAAGGCTTATGAGACATGATTTACAACAAAGACAGCTATCTATCTATCTATCTCTAAAATCACATACACTCATGCAGGAGGACACACACAAACATATTGAATATTATTGCAGACCTCATCATAAAACTCATGACTTTCCAATCTTCATAACATAGTAGGCAAAGGAAAATTGCCATATATGTTTGATTTCCATCAGGTCCACATTATCAATAACAGATTTTGTTAGCCACACAATGTGGAACAATCCTATACTTCTACCTATCATATAATAATTCCATCAACACTTTACAGCTAGATGCAATCAAATTGCTGGATCGTGACTGATAGATTGCATTATATCTATCATAGTGATGGAGGGTAAAATTATTCTTGTTTTTAATTTTTATTCGATTTCAAAGGATGTATATTTTGAGCTTAGTTTCAAGTTTTATTTTTAGAGTTTTTATTTTTATTTTTTATTTACTATTCAGGGGTAATATTCACAGTGGCAAAATTGCCATTACGAAATTTATGTTTAAATTAGGACTTTGAGGTCATTTTAATCATTGTAGGAACATTCAATGTCTTTAAATATTAAATTACATGATATATCAGATGGTAGGGCCTTGAGGGGTTCATTCCACGTGATTTTTAAAAACTGAAAGAGAGAAAAACATAGACCTTTGGAACCTAGCTTGGGGTGATGAGGAAGCCCTTGATTTTGCTAGTTATTGCTTGTGTTTGGCTTGTTTTCTTGCTGATTTTAATGTTTTTGTCAATTTCCCTACATCAAGTGGTATTAGAGTTCAGATTTTCTTTAACAACAAAGCTGGAAAACTACAACCAAGCCTAGGCTTTCCTAATTTTGGGCCAAGTTTTACCAAATCAGCCTAGATTTTACTGTTTGCAGCAAGTTTTTGTCGTAAATCTGCCAAGGGTTTGTGATTTTAACGAACTCATGGCAGAAAGGGGCCGTGGAAAGCGTATTTTCACAGATCTACTTCATGATCCCAGAGATGAAAAAATTGAGGAACTTAAAAACCAAGTTCAGCAATTGCAGCAACAGTTTGCAAGCATCATTCATGTGCAAAACAGTGATCTTTCAGCCCAAGAAGACGTCAAGCACCATCCTTTTCATCTTTGTGCTCCACGTGAAGAGTTGAGTAAAGAGGCGAGTGATAAAAGACCCAAGGCGTGGGGAAAATCACTCTAGGGTTTTTGATTTGGAAGACATTCTTGATTTTGATGGAGGTTGTATAAAAAATCAGCAGGGTGTAAATTGGTATTTACCTTCAATCTTTGATATATGCTCAGATGATCAAGATCTCTTAAGAGATCTGATCTATGGCAATAATCAAGGTGAAGATAAAGGTGTTACAGAAGAGGATCTTGCTCGTGAAAAATATGGAGAGAAGGCAAAAAGAGGACTGATCAAAATCATGGCCTTTAAAGATCTCAAGGATATCAAAGAGGTAGAGCATTCAAGAAATTTAGGGAGTTGGAATCAGAATAGCACAACAGAAGTGTGATGGACTCATAAACAACAAATTGTAGCCCTGGCTTCAGAGTGTAGTGAAATAGATGTCGAGAAAGTCTCTAATGGCGAGAAAAATGAATTTGAAGTTTCCTATGCAATTTTCAATGTGAGTCCAAGGATAGCCAAATTTGATAAGTTTGTATCAATTCCTTACTACATGCACCAAGATCAAGGGGATTTCTTCTTACCACGAATAATATTTAAAGCAACTAAGAAGCAGGTTGAAGGTGGTTTTGATAATAATTTCATTTTATCACATTTTAAAACATGAGGATGAATTTTCCCAAACTAGGGGAGAATGATAGCTGGCAAAATTATTCTTATTTTTTATTTTTATTTAATTTCAAAGGATGTATACTTTGTTCTTAGTTTTAGGTTTTAGTTCAGGATTTTTAAGACTTTTTTTAGGGATTATACGGTTCTTTTTATTTTTTATTTACTATTCACTGGCTAGTATTCATGGGTACTGTTCATAGAATACTGTTCACATGGATAAAATTACCACTATAAATTTTGTGTTTTAAGTTAGGGTTTTTTGGGTCATTCTAATTATTGCATTAACATTCGATGCCTTTGAATATTAAAATCTAATATATAAGAGGTCATAGGGCCTCGAGGAGATCATCCCGCATGATTTTTAAAAATTAAAAGAGAGAAAAAGCTTAGGCTTTTGGAACCCTAGCTTGGGTGAAAAGGAAACCCTAGATTTCTCCAAGTTATTGTGTTTGGCTTCTTTTCTTGCTGATTTTACTGTTTCTATCAAGTTCCCTACATCACGTAATAACATTTCTACGTAGCCAACAGCACTTATCTTTCCAGAAGCCCCACTGCCCCCAACCATGGTTCTCTATACACCAAATCAGTTTAATTATATTGCCTCTCATACCAAGGTTTGTCCATTGAATCAAAGTTTGTTTTAAGTCAAAGGAGCAATATGCGATAGATCGAAATTAAATGCAAACCTAGGCAATTCAAATTAACATGCCACAAAGAGGCATAGTTTGCCAATTTGTTATAAACTAATAATGAAATTACCATACAAAAGTTAAAAAATAGAAATGAAGTACAAGAAGATGTTTTTTGAAAAGTAAAAAGGCGAAAAAAACAAGAATAGAAACATCAAAAAACGGAATGACTTTTGTGTATTAAATTTTTATTAGATAAGATCTATGAAATTTTGCAACAAGATATATTATTTATATTGTCTTGCCTTGTCTCAGCTTCTGCATTTTCCGTTTGAAATTGAAGGGCAGGGTTTCAATGCTGGGTTATATTAGCCACTGGATTAAAGAGTAAAATCTAAGCAATTTGGCCACAATAATTTGGAAAAATGTGCAACTGCAAGCATGCAAGAGTAACCAGACCTAAAGGAATCTAGAATGATATGCCGTTGCTTGGCCAAGGCAGTTTTTTTGGTCCCTTGGTCTGTCTTAAAGTTCTTTTTGCAGCCTTTCAACTCATTCCCATGCTTGATAGATACCTGGTTCAAATTCTATTTCCACCTTGTATTCAATCAGATGCATGCACAAAGTTTTGCAGTCAATCTATTTCCCCACCTAACCCAACAAATTCTAGAAGCATCCAGAAGGCACCAAGAACTTGTAAACTGTGAGGAAGCTCTTGAAAGTCACATATCAATTACTGGAAAACCATTCATGCTGTAATTTCCTCTGATCGTCTCCCGATATGCAAAATCTAACAGCAGTTTGCATACTGCATAAAGGACTGCTACACATAATTGGAAGCACCAGTTCAAGCTACATCCTGACCTTTCCTACTTTATGCAAACCACACATCCGCCCCAAGAGAGACCTGCCCTGCAACTGAGGTCATCCTTAGCATCTGAATCTAACAACAAAACCTGAAAGTCCTCGTTTTCCAAACCCTCTAACAAAACCATCCTTGTTAAGAGGTGGTTCGCCTCAAGTATAGGAGTTCCCCCAGTGCATAGATCTTCAGCAGCAGGGTCCCCTACAACTCAGGATCCCCTACAATGCCTCTAGCATCTGGAAGGGTTTCCTCTCTTGCCTCAACCTAATCACAGCCCTCGCTTGCTTTTGACATAGAGAGGCTACCAGAATCGCGTTTTGGATGGACATTTGGATTGGTCACTCCCCCCTAAGAGAGTCTTTCCCTTCTCTCTTCCACTTGGCCCACTGTCCCCTTTCTTCTATTGCCAAGAACTTTGAATCCTCCACCTTGGGAAGGGTTTGGGCCCCACTTTTCAGAAGGCCACCTATTGACTCCAAACTGCCAGCCTTTCTTGAACTCCAAGCCTTGCTACATTCCTTCTTTCTTCCTTCTTCTGGCCCAGACAAGATTGTCTGGACACCCTCCCCCTCAGGTGTTTTCTCCGTGTCCTCTTTTTCACCTCCCTCCTCTTACCCCACTCTTCTACCCTCTCTATCCTCCCCCGCGGCTAAAGCCTAGAATTCCTTAGCTCCCCCTAGAACTCAGTTCTTTAATTGGGCGGCAATCCAGCAAAGAGCCCTTACAGTCGACCACTTGCAAAGGCCGGGAATGCAAATCCCTAACCGATGTATTATGTGCCATACTGATGCCGAGTCCAATGCCCACCTTTTCCTGCATTGCGACATCGCTTTCCATCTCTAGGGCTCGATCCTCAACCTCTTCGGATGGCATTGGGTCACCCCACAATCCATCCCCCACCTCTTTTCATCCTACCTCTCGCCCCCACGGGCCGAATCTGGTATTTTGTCATGGAGAGCCTCAATAGCAGACATCCCATGGACTGTGCGGCTGGAAAGGAACCACAGAACTTTCAGGGGAGATTTCTCTCACATTGATATTTTGGTTGAAAAGGTGTGATCACTCGTTATCTTTTGGGCTTCCAATTCCAAACCTTTCAAGCATCTCTCCTTCGCAGATTTCCATCAAAACTCGAAGGTCCTTCTTTATCTCAAGCATTTTCAGATTCCTCAGACCTCCTTTTTGTCCCCTCCCACTCCTGGCCTGATTAAGCTCAACTTTAATGGTCGTTCCCTGGGCAACCCCGGTCCTTGGGGAGGGGAGTTTGTTAGCTCCTCGAACTCTAACCACGCAGACGCAACGGCCCTTCTAGTCGGGTTGAGATGCTTCAACAGGGATTGGGGTAACTCCCTAATCATCGAAGGAGATTCCACCAATGTCATCTTTAGGGCTTCCAAAGCAGCCCCTTGTCCTTGGAGGCTCGATCCCATATTCGATAAGCTTTTCCATAGGAGCTCGGATCTCTGCATGTACTTTGGAGACATATTTGGAGAAACGCTAATTCCATTGCAGATTCTCTCGCTAAGGAAGGGGCCTGAGGCTCCACTCACCTGGGACCTCACAACCAACTCCCCCAAACCCTTCCCCCCACCACCTGAGCCTACTGTCTAGCAACTTCTTTAAGCTTTGTGTAATCTTAGTACAATTTTTTTAGCCCTGTAAAGGATTTACTTGAACACCCGACTTGTGGGTGTTCAAACCTTGCTGTACTTCTTTTTACTCAATACACCAGTTAACATTATAAAAAAACTATACTTGGGATGCTACACTTGTAACTTTCCCATTTCTTAACTCAAATCCCACTAGGGCGATGGCACAAGGTGTCCATCATTTTTAGCCCCCGAAACCCCTTAACGACACCCGAAAAAAGAAAAAGAAAAAAAAAGCTACTAGAGAAGAAAATTTTTGTTATACTAGAACTCACCTTCAACTAAAGGCATTCTAATGCATCCATAGCAAGGAAAGGAATGAGTTCAACAGGCTTAAGCGTCCATTCAATCCTTCAGGTTGTATTTACATCAGGCAACATCACTAGGCGGTCACAAATCTTCCACATCCCAAGTAATTTCAGTAATTACTCTGTGTGTGTGTGTGCGAGAGAGAGAAAGAGAGAGAGTTATTTCAGCTATTATCGAAAAACTCATATTTCAAACTTTTTTATACAATGCTTTTTGATACACTAGTTATGCCTAATCACTTCATCAAGAGTTTCACCTTCTAAGAGATTGAAAACAAAGCCTCTGTTTATGTGTAAGCCATTATTGAAGTAACCATACTAGTTTTTCAGAAGCAATAGATAGGACACCATCTACAACTTTCCCAAAAACAAAAAAATGGCACAAATGATATTGCATCTATTTTACAGTGATCAGGGAATTCAAGAAACCAGTGTTTAAGAGCTTGGACTCAGGCTTGGACTCACCAGGTTCCTGAGCCAAGTCAGAGGTTGACTCACCCTGACTTTAGACATAGTCATATAAACTTGACACCTTACCAGGTTAGAATCACTCAAGAGAAATCAAGCCCAACTCACCATTTTTCAGAACACTACAAGAAATGCCAAATTGAAAGTGATGATTATGACACAACCATGCACCATTATTGGAGAAACAATTATTACTTAATTTATATTCCCTATAAGTAAAGGTGTGAGTATCAAAACTTGGACAGGTTGCATGCACCCGGATAGTAGGCTGGGTCAAAGAGGAAGGCTTAAAACCAGGTGGCTGTATCTTGACTGAGTAAATAGACAGGTTCACCATTTTCTTCACATGGTCGAATCAGCCCAGGCAAGCTCCAGATTGATTTGGGGAGTTTTTTGAACCATGTTTCAGTTAAAATAGTCAACGTATCATGATGGTTGAGCTTCTAGAAAAACAGTTTCCAATTACATACAACAAGATCTCCGGCCAATAGAACTAGGTCAGTATCAAGGAATTTGGTAAGGTAACTCCCCTCGAAGAAAGTATCTATTTAGTCCAGTACAATTTTAAAATAGTAGAATACAGGTCGTAATTGCAGAGACACACAAACACACATGGACACACACACACACACACACACACACAAAGATGACTTCTTTTTCTTTGGCAATCTCAACTGGGTTTAGGTCTGAGCATTGTTCGCAAAATCGCCCGATCTAACTGCTAACCGCCCGGTTACATCGGAACTGGCTTTTGGGTGGTTAGAGTGATCAACCAGTATTTAAAAAAAGAATTTCAAAAAAATGTTTATAATTTCTAAAAAATAAAGAATTTTATTTGTAATGCATTTTCAAATATTCTTTACATTATGGTAAAGATTAAATATTGTTTTGGTCATTAATACTCACTTTTATATTTTCCCATATTTTTTAAAAAAATTTAAAAATAGCCCTTGGAAAATAAAAAATGGGTTAAAATCGATTTTTTTTCATTAATTTTAAACTTCATTTGAATGTGTTTAGTTTTAATCATTCTTTATATGCTTTTCATATTTTAGTAGATTTTTTCTATATTTTTTTATTTTTTATCAACACTTTTTTAACCACCTTGGACTTGCCTGGTTAGAACGGTTGAATCAGCCGGTTTACCGGTTAGGCCAGTTAAACCGCTTCCAGGCCCATGTCCGGTTAACCATTCCGATTCGATTTTGTGAACACTGGTATAGAGAGACGAAGTCAGATAAGTTTTTAGATAGGAAGAGACACCAAATCCCTTTTTCTGGAATTTGTATATATAAAAAAATACAAGAGAAGAGAACGAATAGAGACTTCTGATGCCGAAATCAAAGGCAGTGGTATCGAGATTTCGTCACTTGCCAATTCCAAATAGGATTGGGTAACAACTCTAGGGATGGAACATCAATATGAATGAATGGCTATGATGGCTTTATGCAACACAAAAACCTACAACTTAGGAGTTAGAAGGTAGTATAGATTCAGAGTCGTTACATAGATAAAGCTTACAGAAATGAGCCCATGAGACCTGATGGCCAAACTTAAAGACTATGGAGGTAGAATAGACTGAGAGTCATCACATAGATAAAGCTGCCACAATAACAACCAAACAAGCCCATGAGACACAACTAAGGTAAAATATGCGGACAAAGGAGAGAGCGGTAAAATCAAAACGTCCAGTGACAGAAGCCCAAGGTATGCCCAGTGTCACTCATGGGAAAACTAGCAGCTTCATTCAATAAGCATGAGATTTTCCATGGGGCCCAATTATCATCCAACCTAAGGAAGTTAGAGCAAAATATCATCCTGAAATCTGCATGCTCTACAAAATGTCAATTAGAGAAAAATGGTGTCACAAAAATCTATTCTCTACTGAACACCAAAGTTTCATTAGTCTTCTAAATGTTGCAAACACCATGAAACTTGCTTGACATCAAAGAAGTAAAATCTTGATCCCTGAATAAGCTCTCCACGTCAGTTCTGAATCCTCTCACTAACACCAATCAGACTTTAGCCACCAGTCTCGAGGGATGGAACTTTCTGGGTAGAAGAGCAACTCTCCCTGCCCGGCAAGTAATTTCCATTTGCCAAGTATTGAAATGTCCAAATCTATTGCAGTCATAGAGGGTACATGCAATGATTAATGCCATCAATCTAAAGAAACACCAGACTACCATTTTTCCCTTTAAGAGATCATAACATAATTTAAATGCCACTGAATGTCACAACTCCAAAGTCAAGAGCATAAACCCCAGGGATCCCAAGAATGCAATCTTAACACAAACAACAAAATTATTGATGGCAAATCAATTAAATAGATTGAACAGCCGTCAACCAGACTCGTTCATATCAGGAAAGGTACACAAATTTCAGCACATTCATCAATTAAGAGAAAAAACAGATAATAATTTATTATTTCTAGATGATTTAGGCAAATAAACACCAGTTGGCAGAATGATCACAATCTTTTCAAGAATAAAAATTGTGGGAATGTCCCCGTAGGTGAAGGCAACAATATCTTGATTGTTGTCACTTCTCTAGATCTCTCTGTTATTGCATACACATGATGAGTCATCACTTTGAGCAGAACAGGAGAGAAAGATTAAAAAAAAAAAAACAATTCTGATGAAATACACAAGCATGTAGAAAAGTGCATGTGCGTGTAACTACCAATCCTGTAATATGTATAGCAATTGCGGTTTGGTGCATTTGAAGGACCCTGGCAGCATATATTCATCTGCTACAATACTTGACAGTAAGAAATTTAAGAAATCACAACTTCATGTGAAAAGAGGATAAAGAATTAAAACAATGAAAAGTTGACAAAAGTACAGATTCGAAATAAGATGTGCAAATCACCTTTAAATACAACATAAGCTCCTTGTAATTGTCGTCTATTTTTTCTGTCAAGAAGATAAAGTGTTTGATGGTTTTCCTCTCCAACCTATCCACAGAAACATCTTATACAACATTAGTGCGTGCAACCTAAGAAATTAATGTTAAAGACAAAGCTCAAGGTTATCCCTTCCATATATAAATTAAGAAAGATATTCAGACCATGCAATAGAAGCAATTCAAATAAAGAACATATATTATACTTGTGAGAATACCTCAAATAGAAAATCAACATGAGAATACCTCAAATAGAAAATCAACAGAGTTCATATCAGGAAATTTCCACTTGAGAAGGCCTTTGTGTGTCCGGAAAACATATGCATCATCCCACCCCTGCAAGAGAAACATCCATAAGCTGCTGTGAATGATAGTCAAAACACCAAGGCTAATTAACCATCTTTACACCATATCATCAGTAATAAAAGTAATTCAAAACTCACCGCAACATTTTGTAGAAATTTCAACAAAAAAAGAGGAACATTGCTAGTCATATATAGCTCACTCCCTTACCATATATAGCCAAGTCCCTTATAACCAATAAGCTCATGTTTACAATATTATATTGTTAATTCTTGGGTTTGCATGAAGGGCCATCTTTGAGAGAATAGTAAGTAGATGTGGAGAACATGAGCATTTATAAGAACGCAACCAGGAAACTAGATCTCGGTAATGGAAGTGGGATTGAGGTTTCAACAAGGAAGCGCAACCCAAATGTAGGGCTCTTATAGTTTACTTATCATAAACTGATGCTCAAACTAGTACAAGTTACTCATACATGACAATGTGACGTAATGCTTATTGAGTTACCACAATTACATACAAAATAAGAACAGACAAAAACAAGAACGTTTACACAATTGTGCCCCCACGAGGACATCATGTACTCCCCTTGCTGCTCCCATTACCCGAAATACACCCTTCACATTTTTTGATACTGAATCATTATGATGAAAGTGATAACCACCATAATGACCATTGAAGAAAACATTATAACAAAACCCAATGGCAAAAGAAATAGGAAAGGGGCTCCAAACACCATAATGCACCATATGTTACCGGTCAATTTATTTCTTCATAACAAAGGCAGTCACAAGTTTTTATTTTCCATCATAACTAGAACATCACATTTGCAAAAGAAGTGCATCAGACATTAAAAGCTGAACTGAGTCAGATGTTGGATGACAAAGTAGATTTCAATGCCGTCGGCAAAGCAGGAAATGTACTGTTGGTAGCCATGATGATAAGATCCCATCGTTGTAGGAACATTAGACTTAGCTGGTGTTGCTGCTCCCTAACCTCACGCAATTCCTCATCAACAATTTATTTATTCACTAGCCGTCCATTTTCAGTGATTAAAAAGGATTAACTGTCATAGAACATAGACATCAACTCATGCCCATGGGCTACAGTCTTGTCCATTTTTTCAAGTCATTTACAACAAATTTATACGAGGTGAATTTCAAATGAACACAGTAAGGCATCAGTAAACTGCAACTAAGGAATCAGTGCGTTGAAACACGACTCGGCCAAGGTACTCGAACCTTGGCCGAGGTGAGTTTTCGGGAAGTCTGAGTTACTCGCCTGAGTTCAGCCTTATTTATAAAAATGATAAAATGGTAAAATAGATATATATTATAATCCGCCCATATTTTACATTAATTCTTGAATGGCATTAATGGATAGACTAGGCCCCTGTGTGTGTCACATTCCCGAGGTTTCTTGGGTTCGATTCCACGAACACATTCTTTTTAAACTCTTGTATTTTGCTTTTTTAACACTTCCACATTTTCAACACAAAAAAAAATTGAGGGTTGGAGCTCTTGTATTTTGCTTTTTTAACATGTCACACGTCAAGAGGGCTGAGGGGATTCAAATCCTTCTAGTGTCGTTCAGAGTGCGTGAGCAGTATCCAAAAAGCCTTTGTGTAGCTATTGACTTGAAATGGACATAATAATGTAAGTTAACTTTCTCAAAAAAAAAAAGGACAAATTAATGTACATAAAACTTTAAAAGCTTGGTGTACACGCCCTGGTTTATAGGGTTTTGGTCGACAATATGCCCTGGTGCTGCTCACTAGATCCCACAAATGTCTTCATGTAATTTGATAAAGGGGTCAAACAATGGCCCCCGGACTGACTGACGTGGTAAATTTCATTCTCACTATTAAAAACTAAATCAATATGAATATTGAGATGTCACAAGGTTTATGTTAGATTATTTATTCAGTCAAATCCTGAACGCAGAAATAGGGTTTGGAGAATTAATAAACAAAGTGAGAGTAGGGGGTATATTAGCAGGGCCAAAGGGGACAACAAAGAAATAGGTGTCTCAAACAGTAGATGTCTAGTCTAAAAACTACACTACCTTATAAGGATTTGGTCTATGGTATCTCCGGGAGCTGCCCCCCAGTTCCACGCACAATGTGTTCACTCAATTTCAAAAAAGGTTAGACTACGTCCAAAAAGTCAGCTGCCAGGGCAGAGGCCTTGCCGCCCCACACTAGGGCTATTTCCACTAGTGCAAGATAGTGGCCCTGGCCAGCCAAAGAGGAAAAAAATGCCCTTTTCCCACTTGGAAAGGGGGAAATTGTATTTCGGGGATTTTTGGCCCACCAAAACCCTAATATTTTTCCCACAAAAAATAAATTTTTTAGTTAAAAAATGAATATTTAAGGATTGCAACCGAATTTGTGGTTTTTGATTTCTTGCGTAATCGAAAGGCATTCCACTGGAAATTTAGGGATTTAAGAGGTTGCAAAATAGAGTTTTTGGCAAACAAATGTGATCGATTCAAGCCTACCATTGGTTTTTTGAAAGGTTTGTAAATTTAACTATTTATATATAGAGTTTCGTATTTATTGCGAATATTGTGCTATACCATGCATTTTTTTCATTTTCATGTGTTTATTATTGATGTTTGGCTTTATGATCGAACTTCATGAGTAGTTTTTTTCCCTTAGTTTGCTAATTTTTTATTATAATATTTTTATGGCTATTTTTGGCTATATCTATGACTACTTATGGCTATTTATGATAATGTTTCAAAATATCACTCTATGTATGGCTATGTCAATAATTTATAATGCAAAATAACTAATTTATAATACATATTTAGCTTTTTTTTTTTTTTTGCAGTGCCCGCTTACGTCCTTAGGCTGACACCCAAGCCTCAACCTCTTGGGCACCCATTTTTGTTTTCTAAAACATTGAGCTTAGACAATGGTCCTCGTGATTGAAGGTGGCTACACTATTTGTAAATTGTATAGACAAGGGTAAATTTCATTCTCAATTTCAAAAAACAAATATATAAATATATCAAAAACGGAATCAATATAAGTAAATCAAAAGATGATGACAATGCTCACAGTAGATTGCTTATTCAATCAAATCCTGCATACAGAAACAAGGGTTTGGAAACAATACAAAGAAATGTGAGTAGGAGAGGGACATAAATATTTAGAAGGAAATTTTTTTATTAGTAATGAAAGATATAACCTGGATTTATGTCAATCAGCAGGTACTAATGGGTATATGAGAGAGGAGAAAGATGTCAAGAGAAAGACAACGTAGAAAGAGAAATGAGAGAAGTGCGTGAGAAAGAGATAGGAAAAAGAGAGGGGCGTGAAAGAAGAGAAAAGCTTGATGTGATCTCCCTCTGGGATCAGTCACATATATTTATCACATCGATGTGAAAAATTACAAGAAATGCCCTTGTTTGAGTAAATAACTCACACAATCCTATTGAATAAGATATTCCATTCATGTCTCTAACTTACTGCTACACTTTTAACATTCCCCCTCAAACCTGAGCATAGATGTCAATCATGCCTAGCTTGACAACTATATAATGTAGTCTATTATGGGAAACTGCATTAGTGAAGAAATCTGTTAGTTGACCTCTCAATTTCACATCACAAATAATTCTAGTTGCAACTTTCCCCCATACGAAATGACTGTCTACCTCAATGAGTGCTTTACTATTGCATGAAATGTGGATGGTTGCTTCATTATCATAATAAAGAGCCAACAGTAATTGAACATTAATTCCCAGTGCTTTACTATCGCATGAAATATGGGGTTCTCAGAAATGCGGATGGTTGCTTCATTATAATGATAAGGAGCCAACGCTAACTGAACATTAATTCCCAGATCAGCCAATATAGTTAACCCACATAACTTCACATGCCCCATGTGTCGTAGCCTTGTATTCAGAATTTGCACTAAGTGTTTTTTTTACCTCTTCTACGAGGCTAGATTACCACCAACCATGGCACAACATGTAGTAGATATTCTATCGATCAGTGAATCAGCCCAACTTGACCAAGATTGGCAAACAACAAACTCTCCCAGGAGATAACTTGATATACGTACGATAGACAACATCTAAATGAGGTTTTCAAGAGGCATGCATGAATTGACTGACTCCTAACAGCATAAGATAGATTTGGTCGTGTAATTATGAGTTATATAAGCCTGCCCACTAAACTCTGATATCGATAAGGGTCCTCTAGGAACTATCCCATCTTGCATAAAGTCTACAATTGGTTTCCGGAAGAGTATCCATTGGTTTTTCTTCCAACATTCCGGTTCAATATAACAAGTCCAGCACATACTTCCATTGAGAGATAATGATTCCCTTTTTTTACGTAGCCACTTCAATACCCATAAATATGAGGGGCCCCAAATATTCTATGTCAAACACTTTAATCAGGTAGCACTCAAGATCTTCAATGTCTGCTAAGCTATACTCTATCACTATATTATCATTGACATACACTATGTGTTGTAATCCCAACACTCTATTTCTCACAAACAATGTATGATCAATTTGAATCCTAAAATAAATTTTTGGCCAGAATTCACTCAATCCAAGCTCTCAGTGATTGTTTAAGTACATTTATTGGCTTTTTTTAATTTGCACACTTTTCGTGTCTCCCAAAGCTGAAAACTTGGAGACAGCCATATACATTTCCTCATGAAGATTTCCATGCAAAAAGGAAATTTTTTCATCTAGCTGATGTAGGGACCAATATTTATTTACAGAGGAGAAAATGATTCTAAGCATTTAACTTCGCTATATGGGTGAAACTCTCTTTGTAATCTATACCATGAGTCTATGTGAAACCTTTTGCAACCAATCTCACCTTGTATTCAATAGTGCCATCCACCTTGTAAGTGAAACACCCACTTGCATCCTACCTCCTCCGGTAAGGTCCCAATGATATTTTTTTTTTCTTGAAGAACTTGCATTTCCTCCCACATCGTAGCAATCCATTGAGGTTGTGATAAGCTTCTTCCATACAACATGGAATACTAATAGTAGCCAAAGATGAT